GGGTTGAATCAATATATAAGAGCTAGCCAATAAGAGGTTAAAACTAATGGGCCTGTCAGTGTTTAAAAGAATACAGTTCCTGTGTAATTATTTCGGGTAAAGCTACCCAGGTGCCGGGCTGCAGCCCACCGCTCCTATCACTACACAAAGGAATACTTTGCAATTGGGAAATGCCATAGAGAGCCTTGTGCAGATTCTCATATCAAATTTGGTTTAGTCATTCCCTGTCAGCATTGGAGAAAGTCCTCCACAGAGCAATTAAAAGACTTAACATCTGTTGTGGACAACCATACTGATCTGGATGACAGAATAACTTTAGTAGTTAAACACAATTTTCAAGAGAAACCATAAAGCAAATATTTTGCAAGCCTCTATATAATGATCAAAGACCAAAATTAAAAAACAAATAAATGACATTATAATTGAGGGTTTGGTATATACAGGCACAGATGTAACAATAATTACACCAATATATTGACATCCAAATTGGCCTCTCCAGGACATAAATTTTCAGCTTTTAGATACTGGAAATGTATCTCAAGTAAAACAAAACACAAGATGAATTGACTGTATAGGGATGAAAAGACTGAGAGGAAAATTAAAGACATGTGTGGCTAACATAACAATAAACTTATGAGGATATGATTTATTATAATGATGGAATATCCAGTTTAACATTCTTCCAATCTCAAAAACCAAACCATAAACTAATATATATTTCTAGAAAAAATATTAATATGTATTATAAAGAACAGTGACTGTTCATTAAGGTCGCACATAAATAGGGAAAACTGACTGGTGAACTTTCAGAGGTACTAACAGCCCTACCTTTAAAATAGTTAACTAACAAACATGTCTGGGTGGAGCAATGGCATTTAATAACAAAAAAATTACAAGTCTTAAAACTATTGTACAGGAGCTAGTAAATGATCAACATTAAGTCCTTGAAATTATTCTGTATTTGTTATTAAAAAGAAATCTGGAAAACAGAAAATGGTAACATAACTATTAGTAAGGTGATTCAGCCAATGGACTCTTTATAGCCTGGTATTTTCGTACTGTCTTTATTACCTACAGGATGGTCTATTATAGTGACTGGTTTAAAAATTGTCACATTTTTCTATACCTTTATAAAATCAGGATAGGGAAAATTTGCTTTCACAGTGCCTACTTATAATAATTTTCAGTCTGTTAAAAGATAAAAATGGAAAATCCTTTCACAAGGAATATTAAGCAACCCTACTTTTGTCAACATTTTTGTTCAACAGTTATTGAAAAAAATTGTTATCCATTTCCTCAATCTTTATTTTTTTATTATATGGATGATATCTTACTAGCTGATTCAGATACAGATAACTTAGAGAAAAATGTTTGAAAATGTAAAAAATAAATGCCTTTTTGGGGATTACAAATTGTTCCTAAAAATGCAAAGAAAAATTTTCTAATTACCTAGTACAAGATAAGTTTACAAAAATTTCAAACACAGAAAGTACAAATTAGGAGAAATCAATTACGAACTCCTAATGGTTTTCAAAATTGCTGGACGATATTAACTGGCTACAGCCCACAATTTGATTGAACACACAAGAAGTAAGTAATTTATTTCAAATCTTACAAGGTGATAAGGATTTAAATAGTCCATGAAAATTATCAGTTGAGGTAGAGAAAAAGTTAGTTTTGGTAAAAAAAAATTACAGAATATATAGAGGGATAGTTTGGATCCACAGCTTGATTGTATTCTGGTTATTTTAACTTCTATGCATTATTCTTCTGAAATTCTAGTGTAAAGAAGAGATCATATCTTAGAATGGATATTTTTGCCACACAAACAGAGTAAAAAATTTTCTGTGTTGATTCTGAAGAGAAAATTTAGACTTTGTCAATTAGCAGGAATAGACCCAATGGAAATTATGGTGCCTTTTATTAATGCTGAAATTTCCTCATTATGGACAGAAAATGAACATTGGCAAAGAGCCTGTGGTATTTTTTTAGGAGAAATTGACAAATATATCCAAAATAAGAGACCTTTATTTGTTTAAACAATTTTACTTTTATATGTTGATACAGGAAACAGGCAGCCAGTTTCATGCACATTTGAGCTGCAGGAAAGGGCAAAGAACATTAAAATTCAGATATTCAAAACCAGTCAAAAAGCAAGTACACCATGGCCACATTTCCATCCATATCTACAAAGTAGACAGACATTTTGATGGGAAGGTAAGTAAGACTTTTAAATGAAATAGCCCACCGTGGGCCACCAGATGTTTTAGCATGGTATGGGGGAAGTGAAGAATAGAACAGTGTGGCAGGCAAGCTGAAATCAGAGCAAGCTGAGTCAGCTAGTTAAGAAATTAGCAGGAAAGGATACATGATATGAAATTCATGAATCAGTAAACAATTTAAAAACAAATAACAAAAACAAAAACAAGAACCTGGAAAGAAAGAAAAATCTGAGACATCATATGCAAGAGTCAAGTTATGTCAAAGGCAGTGTTCACATTGAAGGCACACATAATCTGTTTCTAAGGGATTTGAATAATTGTCAGAACTAGTTTCTTTGGGATTATCTGGTTGAGCATTCTAGAGTTTCATTGGGTATGGATGACAAACTACCTAAGTTCCTATAGTCCATCTAAAGTTCCTATACATATTAGATACACAGTAATCAATGCAGAAAGGGGAATTGACAGCAAAGAAAGAAAGGTATCCCAACCTCTGATTATTGGAAGATCTCATTAAGTGAGGAAGACTATAGATTTTAATAAACTCAAGTCTACACTTAACGGGTGGATATATTCTACAGTTACCAATGTGTATGAACTGTGCTAGAGACCAGTATCTTTGAAGCTCTATGGACTTACTTGACAATAAAGAAAGCAACCTCCCTATGACAGGCTTATTGATATTTATGTGACCCTGACATGATGGAAACAGATTTCCTTTGTGTCCATATCTCAGTATTGGTTGTTTCCTCCACTTATCATGGTCTCCAGAGTTACCACCAAGGCAGCATAAAACTAATAGCAGGGTGCATGACAGAAAGAGTAAGAGGCTCTGCCCAGCACATTCACTATCAAGCAATATGTGGTCAGCAGAAGCCATTCGAATGCAAAGAAGAGAAATTACGGTTTTAGTGTAGATCTGTCAGGTGCCAGACACTTGTCCACCACAGGGTTTTGAATAGAAAACAACCTTAAGGGCATGAGTCGACTAGTTCTCCTTGCTCCCTATACATATAATAGGAAGAACCTAACTTCTAAGAGCACAAAACTTATCAAATGCTTCATCCTTTCCTCTTTTGTGTGAGAACATTGTATGTGCCATTCTTTATTTTCATTATATATGCATCATATTTAAAATATATATTATTTTTAAAATCTCCTTCTTAATATAATATTGAATATATGCAGAATTTATTAATTGGAAAATTATACTTTATTTCATTTTCATTTGAATGAGAAATATTGAAGATGCGCACAATGAAATTATTGGGTTATTAAAAAACATAATTGAAGAAATACAAATTAAAAAACTTCCCATACTCATGGTTAGAGAAAGTGATGGGGACATGATGCCTTGCTATACATGAATGAAATACACCTAAATATCCCAGTGACATTACTCACAGAGCTGGAAAAACAATGCTGAACTCTATTATTTTACTAACATTAAGTGAGTGTGTGTTTTGCATTATAAGAGTAAGTACACCTAGTTCTCAATTGGATTGAAAGGATGAAATCTTGTGTGTTCATCACTTTTCCATCCCTAGGAAAAAAAATGGCATAACAAGGTTAATGTTGACTCAGTTTTGGAGGCTCTGTTCCATGGCAGGAAGGCCCTATGTGAATCCGTTGTGAGGTAGTACATCAGGACAGGAGTGTGTGGATCAAAGCTGAGCACTATGTAGCCAGGAAAGAAGAAATGATAAGAAACACACACCTCTCTCCATGAGCACAGTGTTAATGTCCTCAAACCTTCCAAGTGGCCCTGTATTCAAACAGGTTCTACTCTCAAACATAAAGCAGTCAATCAAAAGTAGAGCCAAGTTTCACTTCTAAGATAACCAAGATACATTCTTGTTTCTCAATATTGTTAAATCTGATTGTTTTCACTATTTGAAAATTATCATATTGCAAATTTTAGCATTGTGACAGTATTAAAAATTAGTTTGGGGACTGAAAGGTATCTCAGTGATTAAGAGCCTGTCAAGTACTAGTAGAGGACATGGGTTCAGATTCCAGAATCCATATGGCAGTGCATTGCTTCCTGTACGTCTAGGTCTAGTGTATCTAATATCCTTTTCTTAAGTCCAAGGGCAAGACACCCACATGTGGTCTGCACACATAGATGCAAGCAAAACACACATATACATAAAACAAACAAATAAAAGTTTAAATCTGTGAAATCACAGTACTCCCTCAACTCATATCCTTTACAGCAGAACAGTGACAGTGCACTCTCTACATGGAACCTCTAAATAACAGATTAGGTCAGTTCCACAGGGTTAGTCACACAGTCACTTGAGATACACTTAAAATACTCTAGACTATTCTTTGCTATACTAACTGACATAGTGTGACATAAGATCAGGTGGTCTTCTGAACAACAACTCAGCTTTTAAAAGATTAATTTGCATATTGAGATTTTAGCCACAGTGCAGATTCCTCAAATCATCTTTAAAGGCAACTTGCGTGTTTCCAAGAAGCAGCCTCTATTCCAGCTCTCAGAGATGAGGTCAGCTCTTCTGCTGTGCCTGCTGCTCTGGGTTCCAGGTGAGAAGATGCAGTGCTAGGAGCATCTATTGTGGCTATCACAGTATTCTATGCCTTGTTGTCCATATCATTGAAATTATGGCATTTAATCAGTTTCAGGTTTCCTTTTTATTTCATTTTTCTTAGAGTATATATCATGACAGATGTTACAGATTCCACCTACATTACAGTTTTATACTGGGGTACTTATAGTATGTCTATGACAGCAATGTGTGCTAATCATTTCAGATTCTACTGCGGACATTGTTTTGACCCAGTCTCCAGGTTTGCTGCCTGTGCCTCTAGGGCAAAGAGCCACCATCTCCTGTAGGGCCAGACAGAGTGTCACTGCAGAGAGTTTTCATCTTATGCACTGGTACCAACAGAAACCAGGAGAGTCTCCCAAACTCCTTATCTATGAAGCATCCAACCTAGAATCTGGGGTGCCTGACAGGTTCAGTGGCAGTGGGTCTGGAACAGACTTCACCCTCACCATCAGTCCTGTGGAGGCTGATGATGTTGCAACCTATTACTGTCAGCAGAGTTATGACCTACCTCCCACAGTGCTTCAGAGTTGAACAAAAGCCTCCTGAGTTTTCTGGTCACTGAAGCTCAGTCTCAGCTGTTTTTTTTCTTTTTTATTTATTATTATTATTTTATTTTATGACTTTAAAAATACCAATCCAAATTCCTACTTCCTGCCCTCCTCCCACTTCCCTCCCACCCCCCCTTCCCATCTTAAGAGAGGGCAATCACCCTGCCCTGTGGAAAGTCCAAGGTTTTCCCCCACTATATCAAGGTTGAGCAAGGTATTCATCTAAAGAGAATAGGATCCCAAAAAGCCAGTAGAGACAAATTCCAGTGCCATTGTCATTGTCCCCTTAGTCTACCCCAACTGTCAACCACATTTGGGAGAGTAGTTTGATCCCATGCTTGTTCATTCCCAGTCCAGTTGGAGTTGGTGAGCTTCCATTAGCTCAGGCACATTGTCTCAGTGGGTGAACCCCTCACGGTCTTGACTTCCTTGCTCACACTCTCACTCCTTCCGCTCATCGACTGGACCTTGGGAGCTCAGTCCCAAGTGCTCCTATGTGGGTCTCTGCCTCTGTTTCCTTCTGTTGTTGGATGAAGGTTCAACATTGATATTTAAGATAATCATCAGTCTGACTACAGGGCAAGGCCAGTTCAGGCACCTTCTCTATTTCTTAGGAACTTAGCTGGGGTCATCCTTGTGGATTCCTGGGAATTTTTCTAGAGCCAGGTTTCTTGCTAACCCTGAAAAGGCTCCCTCAATCAAGAGATTACTTTCCTTGCTATCATATCTGTCCATCTTCAACAGTAATCTCAGATATGCGATTTTAGAAATCTTGTTTGTAAAGAGGGTAAACTATGAAATAGATATTTAAAAAAATATTATGTGTGTTTGTTCCACCGTGGATGCCTTATAATTCATCTGCTTGTTTACTTTATAAAGACCTCCATAATACTATGGATTTTCAAGGATTTAAGTTGAATAAAACTGATTTTTTTTGTTGTTCAATACACTGAGTAGACAATCATTTTAAACTTACAAGAAATTTTTCCACAGTTGCCCAAAATAACCCGAAATTAAGCTCTGAAAATTGTTAGTAGTCTTGCAGACACAAGTTGACATTTTTGTAAGTTCTTTAAAATTTATTTATTTTCTTATTTAAAAACAATCTCTTTGTATTTTACATACTGATCCCAGTTCCCTCTCCCATTCCCCTCAATTTCCACCCACACCTCTTCTAATTCACTGCTTAGAGAGGGTGAGGCCTCCCATTAGCTATCAAAAAATTCTGTCACATTACTTTGAGGGAGGACCTAGGCTCTGTCCTCCGTATCTAGGCTGAGCAAAGTATCCCATCATAGAAAATAGTCTCCAAAATGCCAGTTCATGTACTAGTGTGAAGTACTGGTCTCACTGCCAGTGGGCCCACAAACTGCCCAAGCTATACAACTGTCACCCATTTTCAGAGGGCTCAGTTTGGTCCTATGTAGGTTCCCCAACTGTCAGCCTGTTGTCTGTGAGCTCTCACTAGCTTGGGTCCGTTTTTTCTGTGGGTTTCCCCATCATGGTCTTGACCCCTTTGCTCATATTATTGTTCCTCCCTCTCTTCATCTGGATGCCGGGAGCTTGGCTAAATGTTTTGCTGTGGATCTCTGCATCTATCAGTTACTAGATGAAGGTTTTATGACAATAATTAAAGTAGTCATTTATCTGATTATAGGGGAAGACCAGTACAAGCATCTTTCCAGTATTATTTAGTTTTAACTGTGGTCATCCTTTGTGGATTCTTGGGAAATTCCCTGGTGCTAGGTTTCTCACTAACCCCATATCTCCCTCTATCAAGGTCTCTTTCTCTCCTTCTCTGAAGCTGAAATTTTTAAACCTAATATCATATTCTATTTGTATTTGCTTGAAATTTCACCCATACCTCTTCAGAAGACAACAAACATGACTCCCTTGACTGATTTACTACTTAGATTCTGATCTGCATCTCTGTGTCCATCAGAGTTCTTCATCTGTGATCTTATACTCATTAGCTGTTATTATTCCTTGTCCAATTCTCACATCTTTTTTTCTTTAAAATCCTCCACAATTTGGCCACATTTCCTGCGTATCTTCTTTCACTTTTTTTGCTGACTTCTTATGTGGGGGAGCACAAAGTCTCACTCTATATCTGGAGCTCACCTGAAAATCACTATCTGATGCTCAGAGATCCTGAGCCTGCACACCTTTTCACACAAACTGCTGGATTACATGTCACCATTCTCATCTCCTTTTTATTTTGTAGTTGTTATACCATTGCAGGTACACGAACTCTTTCTTGCTTGATACCTGTTTTATTATATGTAGTTTTGCTATGATAAAGTTAAAGCTTTCCTTTTTGTTTAAACAGAAAAGGGGAAATGGTGTAGGAGGTCCTTCAGTCTATATGTTGCTTTCATTGGTTAATGAATAAAGAAACTGCCTTGGCCTGTTGATAGGTCTGAACTTAGGTAGACAGGGAAAACTAAACTGCATACTGGGTGAAAGGAGGAAGAGTCAGAGAGATGCCAAGGATCTACTGCCGGAGATAGATGTGCTTTACTTGTAAGCCCCTGGTACATGGCAATACACAGATTAATAAAAATCAGTTAAATTAAAATGTAAGACTTAGCCAATGAGAAGGTAGAGCTAATGGGCCAAGCAGTGATTTAATTAATACAGTTTCTGTGTGGTTATTTTGGGGCTAAGCTAGTTGAGTGGCAGGGACAAACAAGCGGCCTCTTACTACTACAGTTTCCCATAGATTTCAGCTTTTAAAAAGATCTCCTGGTATTTTGGCTATCAGATTAATTACAAGAATAATATAAATATGTATTAGAAGTAGTCTTTATCTGACCACAGTGAATTAAAATTTATAAAACTATGTTGGTGAGACTTCAAGAGTGTAATTTTGACATTATTAGGAGACACAATCTCACAGTAAGGGCCTTGACTGTATGACTCCTACAACCTTTCCTCTTTCTGTTCCACAATCCCTGAGATTTCGATATGGGAGTGTTTTATAGATGTATCTATTATATCTGGGTATCACAACTCTGCATTACAAGTGATTGTGCCTTTCTATAAAAGTTTTCATAGGTTTCAAGAGAAATTTTCTTGCTGAATTGTGACTGCAGTTATTTGTGATATGTGGACAAATTAGAGTGTAATTGTGGATTATATTCATTTATTAATTTAGAATGTTTAGATTCTTCTCCAAGATTCATGATTTCACTAGGTCTGGATCCTTGGCAAGACTCCTGGTACCAGGCATGATTTCCCTCTTATTGAGCAGGTCTTTAAGTCCTACCAGAAATATGTTGGTTATCATTTAAATATACATACAACTCATACCTCCGAAAACTATTGTGCCATGCTGGTCCTTGGGAATCAGAAGTATCATAGCTCAGTACTGATTTTGGTTGTTTTTCTACTTTGGAAATTTTCATGTTACCTCTGGTCATCATAAAATGTCTTCCTTATGAAGCATTTATTCAGTTCAAATCCAGCACAGGGGGCCTTAGGGACCTGTGTCTGAAGTACAAGATACTTGAAGTGAAATATCACCTGTGAATATTTAGTGTAACCTCAGGCATATAGGCCTGTAAAGTAGGTATGGAGGTCAAACATTAACTAATAAGAAATTATTGGAAAATTTGCCTTAAATCCACTTTTTTTAACTTTATAATTTTATTATTTACTATTGATAAAAGGAAATCTGTATATTTGTGACATGGGTGTGTTTGCTTATTTTTACAAAATTAATTTTTCTGAATATTTGATTTTATACTATGTAGCACCACTCTGAAATATTTCACAGTTGGTAGATATTGTGATTTTATAATTATTAATTCTAAGATTTCCACTTTGCAGGAATACAGTAAAGAATATGGCAAAAGTATGCTTAGGGGAATTTTAGGAATTCATAGAAATTATTTCCTAAGTAGACAAGATTTCCAGGCAAAAACTGAGAGCTTGGGGGTGGGGGTTGGACAGGAGTAAGGGGAGATGGGGAAAGAGAGATGAGAAGGGGAGGATGGGGAGAGCTTAGGAGAATGGGACAGTTAGGATGGAGGAGGAGGGGATATGGGAGCATGGAAGTATATATCTTAAGTAAGGGAGCCATTTGAGGGTTGGCAAGAGACTGGACTCTAGAAGGGTTCCCAGGTATCCAAGGAGACATCCCGAGCTTGTTCCATGAGCAACTGAAAAGAGGGTGCCTGAACTGGCCCTATACTATAACCACTCTGATGATTATCTTGCATATCACCATAGAACCTTCATGGATGGAGATAGAGACAGAGACCCACACTGGAGCACTGGACTGAGCTCCCAAGGTCCAAATGAGGAGCAGAAGGAGAAAGAATATGAGCAAGGAAGTCAGGACCTAGAGGGGTGCGCCCACCCACTGTGACTGTGGGGCCAATCTAATGGGAACTCATCAAGGCCAGCTGGACTGGGACTGATGGAGCATGTGATCAAACCAGAATCTCTGAACGTGGTTGACATGGAGAGCTGACTGAGAAGCCAAGGACAATGGCACTGGATTTTGATTCCATGTACTGGCTTTGTGGGAACCTAGTCTATTTGGATCCTCACCTTCCTAGACCTGGATGGAGGGGGGGGGGACCTTGGACTTCCCACAGTGCAGGGAACCCTCACTGCTCTTGGACTGGAGGGGGGAGGGGGAGGGATATGGGAGGAAGGGGAGGAGGTGAAAATTTGTAATAATAATAATAATAAAAAGAAATTTTTTCCTAATCCCTGTTTTCATGTAATTCAAACTAACAATAAACCCCAACACGTAAAGTTAAACATTCTAACACTATAGAAACCAAAGATATACAAAATTGCTACTTATATGGTTAGGAAAAAATTACAGGTGAATAAATCACAGTTTTTATCAAAGTGGAAAACTTTGTATGTTCAATAAAAAGACAAAAATGCAAAATACCACATGCAGTCATCTGAAATCTAAGCCAATGCCTCAAATGCAGTGTTACATGATGTGTTGGCATGCACACT